GCCTTGAGGACATCCCATGGTCGACGTCTTCCACTCTACCCGGTCCCCGATGTAGAGGCCCACACGCCTGGAGGTGAAGTAGTCCACCAACATTCTATAAATGTTGGGTGGACATCCACCCCTTTTGGCCTTGACCATCATCATCGGCCACCAGGCATTGTCGAAGGCGCCGGAGATATCTAAGAATATTGCTTGCACGTAGCATGCCTGAGAATACCTTGCCGTGCTGAACAGTACACGCAGCGCTGTTACTGTAGACCGCCCCGGAGAAAATCCGTGCTGGTATCCCGCGGCTAATCGCGGGAGCACATCTTAAAATTACTCGTTCCAATAATTTTCCCAAAACAGGGAGGAGCATTATTGGACGGTATGCCTTGACGTCGGTGAGCGGCATGTCATTACCCTTGGGAATGACAATCAGTCTTCCGTCCTTCCATACATTGGGGAAAACCTCCTCTTCCACACACTTGGCATACACCGAGTGAAATTCCCTCGGTGCCGCAATCCACACATTCCTCACGATTCTCGCACTCACTCCATCGAGTCCCGGAGCCGTGTTGGGCAAGGCCTTAACTATACCACCCAGTTCCTCAACCTTAAGTGACCTTAACCAGAGATGGGAACAGTATTCCATGTGAGGTCGAACCTGCGCCTTATAAAGTTACAGGCAGTGTGCCGGCATGAAATGCTGTCCCGCTCTGCTCAGCACGCCAAGCTTTTTAGAGGCCAATTTGGCCTTCTCTTCCAAGTGACCACGAAACTCCACGCCAGTCGATATGTCGACTCCGAGGATTCCGATACCGGCTGAGGCAAGAAGGGGAGTGCCTTGAAACTGAGGAGATACGACAAAGGGGTTCTTTTTAGCGGTAAACGCGCAAACTTGTGTCCTCTGAGAATTAAACTTGACTAGATTTAGTCGCCCTCAATCCGAGACTTGGTTCAGCAAAGACTCGACTTCAGACACAAGTTTGTTCCGGTACACGGCGAAGTTTTCCCGAGAAATATTGGCACGGCCGGTGTATAGAGCATCACCAGTGCTGTCATCCGCATAGCAATGAATGTTACCAGTAAGCAATATGTCATTGATATGCAGAAGAAACAGCGTTGGTGATAGCACACAGCCTTGTGGAACTATAATGCGGTTAATAGGCTTGTAGTCGGAGCATGCACCGTCTACAATGACCTTGATGCTCCGATCTGCAAGAAAACTGGTGATCCAATTGCACAAATTCTCGGGAAGTCCATAGGAAGGGAGCTTCAAAAGAAGCGCTTTGTGCCAAACCCGATCGAAGGCCTTCGCTATCTCCAAACTAATGGCCAACGCCTCCCCCTTGGACTATAAAGAAGTGAAATATTTTTTCGAACGACCGAGCAATATTTTTATATTATGTTTCGCACCCTGTACCCCGTACGCCATTCCGCACCGCCGCAGAACCGTGTGTGGGTTATAATCCAATGACGAACGCACACTGGTTAAAGATATATCTCACAGTGTGAAAACCAATCGCGGGATATAATTTATATTTCGGTATATAATATATTATATTATATCCCATAGTATAGATTTAGTATATAATTAGATTGGCAATGTAAAAGAGAAAGGGTATAGCATATGCTTACGTTAGAACGAGATAGAATGGCTAGACCATACACGTACACGCTATCAGCCTGTATCAGCCTGACGTCAATGGTTAACTAAATAAATCCCGCTTATTTTCACGATAGTTTTGATTTTGAAGGATTAATAAGTATTTAAAAGGTGTGATTAAATATGGTGACGTGTGCCGTACCTGAATGCAGTTCATCGAGAAAAGAAAATCCGCAAAATTACGTAGTAAGTACAATTAAAATATTTAGCACTCTAAATTCAATATTTCAGAACTAGTACACATGGACGTGGTTATGCAAAAAGGATCCAACCCTAAAAAGAAAGCTAATTTGAGGTTATGAAATTTGAAGAATGGATCTGTATGGCTTGTGTTTGTATTTGTTATTTTTCTTCTTATTTGTGTTACTTTCGCTAAAATTGTTGCATTACATAATAGTATACACCACAAACATTATTTTTCAACTGAACATTTTTGATACAAATTACATTGGATCCTTTTTGCGTAACTATGTCTAAATGTTTTATACACAAATGGATATGGAAAAATATCGCATTTTATTACGATAATATTAAAAATAATAACAAATACGCGTGTTCCCGCTATTTCTGATCAAATTTTTGTAGGGATTGACACTATCAATATCATTTTATCGATAATATGTTTATAACAGGCAAAGGCATATCCTTGGATGCAGCTTCTTATGAATTCGTTTTTTTTTAATTTTCTATTTTTATGTTTTAGTGTTTCGTAATAGTAAGTATAGTGGTAGTATAATAGTAAAAAATAGTTGTGAATACTTTAATGAGATGATTTAGACTCTTATGATATTTCAGATTTCCAAAATATTCAGGTAAAAAAATGGTTAAAAATGATAAATAGAGAAGGATGGGTTCCCAAAAAAAAATTCAACTACATGTAGCAAGCACTTTTAACAAAAATGTTTTTCTCAAAGAGTAATGCTGCGTTCTGGAACAATACCCACATTATTTATGCCCGTGCGTATTTCCTTAATATATTTTACTGTACATATGTTCATTTCGTTTACGCATGTTTAATGTGTACAACTTGTTGTTGTCATCCACGTGGTGTATATTTTTTTTTATAAAACGAAAGTAACAAAGGAACTTACAGTATCACTTGATAATAAACGGCTACTCCAGTACTTGGTTACCTACAGTCATCTTCAAACAAAGAAAGTTACAAATTTTTTACGTGGTAGAGCCATGCTGCAGCTATATCAATAGTATAGTTGAATGGGTCAGCTCGACCGGGAAAGGACCACGTTTTCACAGAATACTAGCGTAAAATAGCAGCTTAATGCTGCTGGGTTTCGTATGGTGAATGTAGAGAACCGGAGACCCTTTTTACAGGAAAAGAGGCATTCTATCTTAGTCCTCACGGCTGACAATGCATCTGCATTTTAATTCGCAAACGAAAATAGATGCAGATGTCTATGGGCTACAGCAACCACTTACCATCAGGTGGACTGTGTGCTCATTTGTCACCCTAATTCTATAAAAAAATGTGTTTTCACCCCTGAGGGCTAAGATAAAATGTCTTACAACTTATAATTATACAGGCTCTCTATACTCAACAGGCTGGATCGCGGCAGTGTAAGCACTGCTGTTTAGCGGTAGTGTAAGCACTGCTGTTTAGCGGCAGAAATAGGTAAAAGGGTGGTATTTCATGAATTTTAATCATAGATAAGTACATAATGTATACACTAATTATATTTGTTTGTAGGTTGTATTGAAGCCAGTACGCAAAGCATCATTATATATCTACAGAGATATATTGCCAGTACCCAGTAGCTCAGCTATAAACGTTTCTGTTATAGACAATACCCCGAGAAAGAAAAATAAAGAAAATTACTGATATTCTTTGGAGAAGATTAGATATGAAACAAAAAAAAAACTAAAAAATGTCAGAGCACAAAAAAACGGGCTAATAAAAAGTGGAAAATTTTTATCAAGTGATAAAAACCTAGAAAGGCTTCCCTCACTTCTAAATAACATTAGTGCTGTAATAGCATCTAGTTCAAACGATTTGTTGCAGCATCTCATCGAAAGGGTGATAAAGAAAAGTTTATGAGATAGGTATTCGTTCTGAACAAGTTTTCTGAAAACATGTGAAAAGAAAATTGTAAACGAAAATATGTTTCGAAAATTAGTAAACGAATGCCTTGTGTCCTGCAAAATTTTTTTAACCTACTTGACATACATATGTACGATTCGTACAAACCATAAACATTTAATTATTACATTAATAATCGAAACTTATTTGATTATTAGATTGAAGTACGAAGCAAAATTGCAAAATACCTCTTATGGAGAGCTTACGACATTTTTACAATCAATTAGTTATTTTTGGTGGAAAAAAGTCACAAACTTTTTGTTTGTAGTTTTATTTTTATGGCTTCAAACATAATAATATTAATTTTATGAAACAGACACGGCGTTCTGTATCGATAATTGAAGTTAATACATGACGCAGCACTATTCTTGTCGCACACATGCACATTTAACTCACACGGGTACATTTCGATTTTGGCTTCACCCTAATCACGCCATGGCCAATCTAATGTATACCATAGATAAATAAATATGTAGCAAGCTAATGTATACTATATCTATATCCCATAGTGAAAAGCCAGCCTATAGTTATATACCAACTATGGAGTGTAGAGAGAAAGAGGACCATCGCTATACAATGAAAAGTGTCCCTAAAAACGTGTCCAATAAGGGTGGCGCTGCAATAGCATAAGATAAATTTGAAAAAAAGCGCCAAAGTAATTAAAATAAGATGGAGAAATAAATAAGGACCGACCAATCCGCTTGGTTTTGTACTATGTAAATAGGTGAGATTTTGTATACTGGCATTTTACTATTCTAATCATGAAATTTTTTAAATATTTGAATTCAGCTGACTTCACTCCGTTCACAACAGCTAGTTTTTCAGACGCCAGCGCTATTGTGGTAGGTTTTGGAACCTCTATTTTCAGTAAATAGTAGGACACTTTTTCAACTTTCGCCCCTTATAAGATGGTTCTCCTTGTACTCTACACTCCATAATACCAACCAACAAATATGTGACAAGCTGACAAGCTGACAAGCTTCAAGTTCAAGCTCACAAGTTGTCAGCTGCAGCTGTCAGCTGTCAAGTGCTACTGCGATGTATTTTATTGAGTTTGGTAATATTTCCTGCATTATTAATTGTTACAAAGTCAAATAATACATTGATATATGTAAATGAACTATTAAATTAATAAAAGGGTCAGATCTCTAAATTTATATATTATTAGTAAAACATAAGTTTGAAGAGTTAAAAGGTTTTAAATTGTAATTTAACGAGAAAACATAACGATATTTGCACAAAATTTAATTCCCCAGCATGCCCGACATAAAAATTACTCCGCTAGGAGCTGGTCAGGACGTTGGACGCAGTTGTATACTGCTGTCTATGGGTGGTAAAAATATTATGTTAGACTGTGGAATGCACATGGGATACAATGATGAACGGCGATTTCCTGATTTTTCCTATATCGTACCAGAGGGTCCAATCACCAGCCAGATAGATTGCGTTATTATATCCCACTTCCATCTTGACCACTGTGGGGCACTGCCCTATATGTCTGAAATGGTTGGTTATACTGGGCCAATTTATATGACCCATCCAACCAAGGCCATAGCGCCCATATTGTTAGAGGACATGAGAAAAGTCATTGTGGAAAGAAAAGGAGAGTCAAACTTCTTCACATCACAAATGATAAAGGATTGTATAAAAAAAGTGACTGCAGTAACTCTCCATCAGTCTGTGATGGTAGATAATGAGTTGGAGATCAAGGCCTATTATGCTGGACATGTCTTAGGTGCAGCTATGTTTTGGATAAGAGTGGGAAATCAGTCAGTTGTGTATACCGGTGATTACAATATGACTCCAGATAGACATTTAGGAGCAGCTTGGATAGACAAATGCAGGCCAGATTTAATGATAACAGAGTCTACGTACGCTACAACCATTCGTGACTCAAAACGTTGCCGTGAAAGAGATTTTCTAAAAAAGGTACATGAATGTGTAGAAAAAGGTGGAAAAGTGCTTATTCCTGTGTTTGCACTAGGTAGAGCTCAAGAATTATGTATTCTGTTGGAAACATACTGGGAGAGAATGAATTTGAAGATTCCTGTCTACTTTGCATTAGGTTTGACTGAAAAGGCTAATAACTATTATAAAATGTTTATAACATGGACTAATCAAAAGATAAGAAAGACTTTTGTACAAAGAAACATGTTTGATTTTAAGCACATCAAACCTTTTGATAAATCTTATATTGATAACCCCGGAGCGATGGTAGTTTTTGCTACTCCAGGTATGCTGCATGCGGGTCTATCATTAAATATATTCAAAAAGTGGGCTCCATTTGAACAGAATATGTTGATAATGCCTGGATTTTGTGTACAAGGTACAGTTGGCCATAAAATACTAAACGGTGCTAAGAAAGTAGAATTTGAAAACCGTCAAGTTGTAGAGGTTAAAATGGCTGTGGAATATATGTCATTTTCAGCTCATGCAGATGCCAAAGGTATTATGCAATTGATACAATACTGTGAACCTAAGAATGTGCTATTAGTGCATGGAGAGGCTCAGAAAATGGAATTTCTGAAGGATAAAATTGAAAAGGAATTCAAAATCAGTTGCTATATGCCTGCGAATGGTGAAACTTGCACAATCACTACTCCGACAAAGATACCAATTGATGTTTCTTTACGATTACTTAAAGCTGAAGCTGTTAGGTATAATGCACAGCCACCGGATCCAAAGAGACGTAGAATTGTTCATGGTATCCTATGTGTCAAAGATAACAGACTCTCATTCCTTGATATTGATGAAGTTTGTGATGAGATTGGTATAAATAGGCATGTTATTCGTTTTACAAGTACAGTCCGTTTTGAAGATAGTGGGCCTGCCATTAAAACTGCAGAGAAGTTGAAGACACTTTTAGAAGAAAAATTACAAGGGTGGTGCATTACTATATCAGATGGCAATATATCTGTAGAATCGGTCCTTATAAAGGTAGAGGGTGATAATGACAATACCAAAAATATATATGTGTCATGGACTAATCAAGATGAAGACTTAGGGAGTTATATTTTAGGATTACTTCAATCAATGGTACAGTGATTTAATATATAAGTTAAATAAAATATTGTTTTATTTCAATACTGTAATTTGTATAAAAAACTTATTTTGAATAAATAAATAATTATGTCTTTATGCACACCAGGTGATATCCATATTACATTTCCCTTGATACCATAAGTACTGAAGCTTGTTCATTTCATTTAAGTTTTTTATTTCTTCTGGTGCAAAAGCTTTTTGAACCTGCAATAAAAAGAAAATGTTATTATTTACAAAGATTTTTAGATACATTAAAAACCTAGCAATGGTAACAAATTATACTTAAGTAAAAATTGATTACAAGAACTAAAAATAAAAGAATAATTCCCACATGAAAAGGTCTCCTCGCATTGTCTGTGAGAGAATCTGAACTTTAAATAGTGATTGACAGTTTGAGTGAGATCGAATCTCTATCAGCATGTGTCTAGATTTAGATAGTGGCGTGTGTTAAATGTTTAAAAAAATAGGAGACTACGGTTTGTTTGTCTGTGTCGTCTCATATATTATCTTTTTTGTAAACAGTACACCAAGTATTTTGGAAAAAAATCAAATCACTGTTTAAAAAAAGATAGGCAGACCCTACTATGTAATATATATTGAAATATTTCACTGATATACCTATTTTGGCAACAAAGTCATTGAATACTTCTCCAACTGTCGCCGATTCATTACTCAAACAGAATGTTAATACCTGTTTAAAAGAAATTAGATTTGAAAAAGTATTACCACAAGATATTGTAAAATATTTCAAAACCCTTGATGTAAAGAAAACCACAGATTTATGGGGGATTTCTGTTACAGTTATTGCGTCCATAATAGATTTAATTGCACCTCATCTTGCTATTATTTTTAATACTAGTACCGAATCTGGTGTGTATCCTGATTTAATGAAACATAGTAAAGTAATACCTCTATTTAAATCTGGTAGGACCCCGCTAATTTTAGACCCATTTCTGTACTACCAACTCTCAGTAAAATTTTTGAAATGAAAATTTTAAGACAATTGTTATTTTTTATAAAAATAAATTACTCCATAAAAATCAATTTGGTTTCACAAGGGGTCGCTCGACGACTGACGGAAGTGTTGAGCTTATGAAATATATTTTTAACGCGTCTGGGAGAGTTCACAAGATGCCTTAGGTATTTTTTGTGATCTTTCCAAGGTTTTAGATTGTGTTCATCATGAGATATTAATCAAGAAACTATAACATTACGGTATCAAAAATATTGCGCTTAGACTTATTATTTCATATTTAAATAACAGAACTCAAAAAGTCGTTATCAATGGCAAAGGTTCCTCCCGGTCAGTAGTATCAATGGGCGTTCCTCACGGCTCGATTCTTGGCCCATTCCTGTTCTTAGTCTATATTACCTTATCTTGTAGGGGACAATCACGATATAGTATTATTTGCTGATGATACCTCTTTAATTTTCAAACCCAAACAAAAGTCAATTAATTTTGACAATGTAAATAATGCTCTATCGAAATTAGTACATTGAGTTAACGCCAACAATTTGCTCTTAAACGGCAATAAGACAAAATGTATTAAATTAACAATACTTAATGTTAAACATTCAAATACCAATGTGCTTAAATGGAGAGGAGTTGAGTCTTGTGAATACCACTGTTTTTCTTGGTATTACTATTAACGCGAAGCTTCAATGGGTATCAAAGCTATCTAGCTATATATCTAAATTAGCAAGCAGACTTAGTTCTGCAGCATATGCTGTAAGAAAGATTAGAAGTCTCACCAATGTTGAGATAGCTAGATTAGTTTATTTTAGTTACTTTCATAGCGTGATGTCTCATGGAATTTTGCTATGGGGTAATGCGACTGATATCGAAGCTACATTTGTTTTGCAAAAGAGAGCCGTAGGTACGCGATTTATAATTTAAATTGTAATGAGTCCCTTAGAGAATTTTTTTTAAGAAATAAACATATTAACTTTGGCATTGCAATATATTTATGAAAATGTAATGTATGTACATAAAAATATAAATAGCTTTGATAAGAATAAAGATGTTCATACTTTAAACACCAGGAACAAATATAAGCTTGTAATACCAGTTACTAGACTCCACAGAATTAGTAATTCCTTTATGGGGCAATGTATACGCTTTTACAACAAAAACCCAGAAAATGTATAACATTTTTCAATAAATAAGTTTAAATAGAAAAATTGTACAAAAAGGGTTATTATATAAGATCAAAGAATACGTAAGTGAAAAAAACCCCTGGGATGAGGTGATCGCCACCATGCTGGTTCTATTAAAACTCATCATCATTTAAAATTTGTACCTACAAACAAAAAAACAAAAATACTTATTGAAAATCATTTTTTTATGTTCAAGGTACAAGGCTATGTCTTGTCTCTTAGTTCGTACTATGATAATATAGGGGCTTCTACGGTCTCAACTAAGCGAGATATCAAAAAAAATTTATTTTTTGGCGTATCTCGTCGAGATCTATGCAAATTCGCCTTCAAATCGTGGCAACGTAAGAACCGTAGTCGTGTCGTAATATATTATCTGTCTGCCAAATGTTATAATGAAAAATGTTTCCAACATGGTAGAGAGTAACTTGTGGCAGTGGGTAAATGTAATACAGTACCGTATAAAATATTTGTAGTGGCGGTGTAAATGAACTCATCACCCCATATCGTCCGTAGGTGTCATAGATTCGACTATGGGAAAGGCCAAAAATACGTCGTGGCTTTCAACACCATTATTGCCAGAAAAAAGACCCAAATCGACGACGGGGAACAACGTTAAAGATCAAGATGTAAGACATTTGGCAATTTAAACGTTAATCTTCCAATTTAATCGTCAATTTTATACGTGGTAGAGCCACGCTGCAGCAGTATTATGGTTGTTACACGAATGGATCGACTCAACCGCGGTAGGACTACATTCTTACAAAAATACCAGGTTAAATAGTAGCTTCATGCTGCTGTGTTTCGTTTGGTGTGTGAAGAGGACCGGAGACCCTTTTTATTGGAGACAAGGCAATCCATCATATTCCTCAACCTCATGACAACGTATCTGCATTTTGATTCTTATTCGAGAATAAATGTAGATGTTTATGGGCCACAGCATCCACTTACCATTAGATTGATTGCATGCCCGTTTTTAACAATTATTCTATAAAAAAATCTACCTAAAAACGTAATATCGTCATATCTTTCGTTTTGGTATAATCGGCGAGGCCAACGTCCAGCAGTGAACTGTTGCGATCTGAGGTTAATGACATGTTCAATGCTATGTTTTAGATCGTGTAGGTACGATTAAAAAATTAAAAACTACTAACCATTTTTGGGGGAAACAATCTCTTAAAATCACCCTTATGAAGGAATTCTCTGTACGACTTTAGCAGACTGTTTCTTAATTTATTACTAAGGCATGGTCTACATAGACCACATATAATTAATTCTTCGCATCGATCTCTGCATTTGGTACTGCATTCATCACTCCATACCGCTATGTTTTTCTGCGATGATACCATATTTTCAGCTAAGGTTTGCTCTCTAAAATAAAATGAAAATGTCTATAAAGTACAGCTTATATATGTACCACTGCTAGGTTCAGGCTTCCTCCCATTTCTGAAAGGGTTATGGAGAAATTGGTCCGCCGCATTGCTCCAATGCGTCTCTATGGACTTCACAACTTCACATGTCCTTGAGACTGTGGAATAAATTTCACATGCAAGACTCTTTACGATGTTTTCCTAACCACTAAGCTGGTAGTTATCAGCATTTAAAATTGCAATTAATTAATTAATTAATTGGTGCTGGCGGGTTTCGAACCTGGGTTCTTCCTAGCTTTCATGTTCATGAAGTGTCGTTTCTTGTGGCGGTAGTCATGATTATAAAGTGAAGTACATGGGAAATTGAATTTATCGATCGTTCAACGGTACCTTACTACAAAGTACAAACATTCTTCCGAGCTTGTTCGTAACAAAAAGGAGATGGCGCAACTTGAAAATAAAATCTTAGTGAAAACAAAGATTATGTATGCTGATTTTACGTCGAAATAAAACAGTCTAATGTGTAAAGGGCCAGTTCATACGAAATGGCGGACTCGGTCATATTCCTTTAATGTCGCATCGATTTGCCGGTGCCACCGCCGAGCGCCGAGTGAACTTGTCGGAACTATACAATGTGAATTTGTTTAGTTCAGTTTTGTTCGAACGTTCGTTTGGAAAGTTCGATTCTACTTATGATTCTCATTTGATCATGACTCATCTATTATGTCTTAAATAACGAACATGAGCAACTGGTGTCGATTCCCGCTAGTATCAATAAAATTATTAATTGAAATTTTAAATTCTAATTTACTACGTGGTCAGCAGTGAAGCAAAATTTCAGAAGCTGGTATTTCTGATTTCTGCGTGGTTATCACCACGCACTGGTGCAGCGCGGTGGCATAATTTTTACAAAATTATCTTAGAAATTAGTGGAGCCCGCCCAACAGTGGAATGTGATTATCGTTATATAGTGTTCGACAATCCGTTGACAAAGGAAATAAAAAGTTCGTGCTTATTATTTTTTACTACACACTACCGATGCGTCATCTTTTTCTTTTCTGAACTTATTTGCTTATACACTGCCGTAGACATACGATTACAAAGAAAAAAAGCTATCTATATTATGTGTATTAAAAGAAAAAGAAAAATAGAATACTTGAAACAACGGTTAAAATTGTATTAAGTATTACCTTAAATTAATATTTGCGCGCCCATTTATATAGCTGGCAACACCAACCAACGAGAATAGATTGTATAGCACTTGTTCGTAGAGCAACTGGTTGGGCGGATAGTGCGCCGAACTTAAATTCGGCGACATATTCGCCTCTAGAAGATAGACCTTTAGATTTTCGTCTACCACCAAATCAAACCTCATGAGCTCAAAGAAATTGTCGGATGAAGGATAATTCTTTAACTGAAACATAAAAGTTATTATGAAAACGCAGCTAGGCAGACTTTCAATTAATGTGGTGGCGATCT